TTTTCAAGTTTAGAAGCATTTTAAAGCTTTAATATCGACAATTAGATCTGTATGGGGCTAAAATGAGGCCATAAAAAAAATTATTTCAAACAAAATAAAAAGATTTGAAACAGAAAAAATATTTTTAAACTCAAAACAAGATTTGAACTGAAAAAAGGAACTGAAAACATATTTTAAAGGATGTTGCATTCTAAAATCAACAATAACAATGAAGACATTTTCAAGTTCCCACAGTTCCTGAATGCAACAGCTGGAAGTATTTTATGCAGATGCGTTATCTAAGCCCCGCCTCCACACCTGGGAGCCAGCAGTTAGAAACAAAACAAAAAAGAAAAACAACATAATTTTTATTTGATCCTTTTAAAATCTTTTTTTTAATTCTGTTTCAAAAATCTGCTTTCATCTATATTTTAATCCCAGTTTTAACTTTTATTTTTCCAGTTTATAAGATACTTTTCATTTTCAAATCTTTTATTTTCAGATTCAAATATTCTATTTTTACTTTCAAAGTAATTTTTGTTAAATTTTTTTTGTTTTTTTTTTGTTTAAATAAACTTTTCGGCACTACTTGAGCTCCATAGAATAATACTTTTAAAATCTACTAAAAAATTATACTTTTTATCGTGTTAAACACTCATTTTATCAGATAAATGAACTGTCAGACATAAACAGGATTTCAGACCAGAAGCATCAAAGCAAGTTAATGTTTGAATCGGAATATTTCTGGTTCTGATTGTTCTGAGAGCTCTGGGAAAAAAAAACAAAAAAAAAAACAGTTCAGATAAAAAATGTGGGTCCAGATCAGAAACTGGAATTTTCCCTTAAATCCTAAGAAAAATAAAAAATATATATATATATATGGTAAAAAATCCCAGTATACTTTAATGAGATTTTAGCAAAAGCTTAATAAAACCCGGTCCTGTTTGGACCTCCGTATCCCAGCCGTCTTTTCCAGCAGATCCACCTTTCAAACTTTAAACGGGTCACAGAAAGATGGACTCCAAACTGGAAAAAATCTAAATCTAGATAAGTCATTTTTTCTTAAAATAAGAGCATTTGTTCTTGGATTAAGGAGGTAAAAGAGACATTTTGCCAACGGAAAAAGACAATTTACATTTAAAATAAGAAAACACAATTGCATTGTCTTATTTCAGGTGCATTTTATCTAATTATCTTATTTTAAGAGTGAAAATACTCATTCAGTTGGCAAAGTATCTCATTTACCTACTGAAATTAAGGGTAAATACACTTAATCTAAGAAAATTTTACGGATTTCTAATTGTCTTTCCAATGCAGTTATCATTTGGATCCTTTTTCCATAATCAAGTTTAAACCGTGACATTTTCAGTCAGAAAATCCAGCCTAGATTGTGATGATGGTTTTTATCCAGTAAAGGATTCAGAACCTTGTGGATTTGACCTTCATCATGTCCCGATTCTCCATCCAGTCATATTTGTTTCTTCTTCCAGGACTTTCTGACCAATCAGAGCCCAGCGTGCAGATCCCCCCCCCACCCCGAATGGTTCTAGAGATCCTGAACCTGAAGCTGCTGTTTAACCTGTCGTATCCACTGCAGCGGGGTTTCCCAAACTGCAGATCAGGGGCCATTTGTTGCCCCTGGAAGGATTTTTTTGCGGCCCAATCCAATAACGACATAAATGTGGCGCCCCAGTTCGGGCGACACTGTTATTGACAAATTAAAACAGAAAATGTTCGATTCATTATCAGGTCAAAGTTTGTCTTTGTTTGAATATTTCATCCAGTAGGGCTGGGTAAAAAAAAATCGATTTTGGATCGATTCCTTTACATTTTTGCAAAGTCGATGTGATGAATGACATCAATTAGTTTTATAGTGACGCGCGTGACGTTCACATTCAAATGAGCATCGTGTGCAAATGCCGACCCAAGTAACACGCCGCTCAGCAAGCTGTCCCAACTGCAGTCTGATGTCTGGAGCCATTTTGGATTTAAAACAGCTAAAGATAATGTGCTGGATATGTGACATTAAGGTGACCTCCCACTACATTGGTAATGATGGCGCCTCGCATCTCGTGCTACAGACCAACAAGATGACTTCAAGCCAGATGGCTGCAAATATAGCTGATAGGTTTAAAGCTACAGTGTGTAATTTTCAGCGACATCTAACGTCCAGACTGCAGACCGCAGCCACATGAACATCTCCCCCCCACCGCTTCTCCCCCCCAACAGTACGGCGAGCGTTACGGGACAAAATGTCTTCCACGACGTCCGCATCACCTACCTTCTCAAGTGATGAGGTTTGTTTACATAGATAATTTTACAGATAGTATTTCATTAGTCTGTATAGGGTATAGATTTGATGTAGACTTTAGATAATAAATATACCCGTTATTTTTTCTACATCGTTGTGACGTTTTGGTGAGCTGCTTTGCATGGTGATATAAACAGACGAAGTAATTGTAGTCATTAGTTTAACAGCGAGATTGTGTTCGCTGGAAGAATATATATTCCCCCGTTTACAGAGTCCAAGTCTTGTTTGTGGCACGGGGGTTACAAGGCGAGGAAGAGGGAGAGGAAGAGGGAGAGGGCGTGCAGCCAGGGCCAGGCGAGGGAGGGGAGCCAGCGGGGTGAGAGCAGAGGAGGAAAGGCTTGAAGATCTCCAAAGGAGCCGGAGAGAAGTAACCGAGGTATATATCCAGAAAATTATTTTACAGAAAATTACTGAATCATTACCTGTGAAACGTCAGGAACGTTGCTGAATAAGTATACTGGAGAGTAACAGCATCATCACACAGCATGTTATTGTAATGGGAGATCTTGCAATCGCTAGTTTGTTGGCTCTGCGCTGCCGTAGCGCAAAGATGTCTGCCTCCATGGCTGCGAGACCCGCTCCTATGTAATTATAAAAAACGAATTCTAAGGCAACGCAAATATTAAGGTTAAGAGGCTGAGCTCGTAGATGATGATAAATAACATAGTTATGTATAATATATTACATTTCTGACTGTATATCCCTGTAATTATTACACACTGTAGCTTTAAAATATGATAATTAGATAATATGCACTTGAAATAAGACAATGCAATTGTGTTTTCTTATTTTAAGTGTTAATATTCTTGTTTTATTGGCGAAATGTCTGTTTTACCTCCTCAATCCAAGAACAAATGCACTAATTGCAAGAAAAAAACTACTTATCTAAATTTAAATTTTTTTCCAGTGCTGTGTCACGTCTGCTTGCTCGTGTGAGGCTTCACAGTTTGCACTTTTGAGACAGTTTTGTTCACATCTCAAGTTTAAACTGTCTGATTTACAAGTTTACAAGTTTGTGTTTAATAGGAAAATAAAATAAATGAGTATTTTGAAAAACATTTGAACCACTTTCTATATTGTAAAAACAAATCGAATCGAAATTAATCGATTTCGAACTGAATGAATCAAAGTTGAATCGATTCAAACACCCAGCTCTATCATCCAGTGACTTCGCCTCCATATTCGCTGCACCAAGACAATAAATTTAATAAAACCAGTGAGTCTGATGCTAAAACTGTGCTTTTATTTTCTATTTAGATTCATTTTTAGTTATTTTTTTTTTTTTTTTTACACTGTCCGGCAATGTGGCAATAAGAATAATTGTTATGATGCCAAAAACGAATCCATTATTTTATGATTTGACTGTTTAATCATTTATTGATCCGTCATCTAAAAAATGTCTGACTTTTTAAAACATTTTTACTTGTTTAGTTTTTGGTGAGCATTTTAACGAAAAATTCTATTTTATTTCTAAAACAGAAATGATTACTGGATCAATTTGGTCCAAAGTTTGGACGCCTGTATCCCGCAGGATAAAGGATTTATTTTTTAGATTTTACACAAAATTATACATTGATTTAAAAAAAAAAAAACACTTGAAATAATTCAAAATTTGAGGTTTCAGACTCAAGAATTGAGGATAAAGTCTTCAAACTTGATCCCACCTCTGATTATCATTATTATTATTATTATTATTATTAAACATCTTCAGGTTTTTTTATTTTTTATTTTATTTCACTGCCTCTAACAGACGCAGGTAAATCAGCTCCAGCTGTGAACTGGAGTTAAAATAAATTTCCTTCTGACAATTTGCCAAATGTAAAATTGAAAAAGAAAATTGTAAAATTTTAATTCCACTGATTCTCTGTAAACTTTTTCCGGTTTTATTCTCATGTTCTTTGGTTTCATGACGTTCAGCTGATGTTTTTTTACCTGAAAGCTAAACCGCTCCATCATTATAATGGATTCGGGTCACTGGGTCACAAACGCCCGGTCAGGCTGACACCTGCTCGCACTGCATGCTGGGAAATTAACCGTATCGTTTAAATTCCATACAAATCCGCAGTCTGACTGTCAGATGCTCCTGCTACTGTCTGATGGCATCAACTCTCAGGTCCTGGTGACCTCAGTGACGCCCCCTGCTGGCCTTTCTGGTCACCAACAGCCCAGGAACTGATCTCTCTGGCTGCTCAACTCTTTTTATACATCAGTGTTTAATCAGATGAGCTGGTTTATAATATTAATGCATGAATTAAAAATAAACATGTTTTCTAGGATTAAAAATGCAAAATCTGCAAAAAAGATCAAACAATGAGACGTTTTTGTTGTTTGTTTTAACATTTAAAGCATTTAAAACCCTGCAGAGGCTGTGAGGCGCTGCTCTGACACCACATCATTCATTTACTGATTTAATACACATGGGTTAAAACGTTATTTAAAAAAAAACTCCACAAAAAATGTAAATGTTTACTGTAATACCTGTAAAAGAGCAGCTCATAATTAAGATTTTTTTTTTTTTTAGACAACCATAAAACTGGTTAAAATTGAATTTCTGTTTGGAAAAAAAAACGATTCTATTTGTTTAAGGGGAAAAAAACTAAACATATAAGCCAGTTAATAAATATTCAGTCACTGAGGAGTTTTTCTTCCTCCTGTTTCTTGACCAGGAGGTGAAGGAGAGGAGCTCTGATCCAGGTTGGTCTGAACTCACCTCCCTGCTGAAAACTTCAAGATGTGCAAAAAGCTCCTCCTGCTTCTGTTTGGTCCTCAGAGTCCAGCAAAGATCTGAAGCAGCAGGAACTTCTCAGCTGCAGTTTTCTCCTCCTCTGAAGAACAGAAAGCTGTGCAGAACCTCCTCCTCTCCGTTTGCTCCCATATAAACACCTTCTGGATCAGAACCGGGTTCTGGAAGTCCTGCAGCAGGGTTGTTCTAGCGGAGGTTTTTCCTTCTGTCTGAGGTTTAAAACGGACTGGAAGTCACTCCTCCTCTGACATCACAGAGGAGGCGCAGCTCCTTCCTCCTCTGAGAGGGAAGCATCCAGCTGCGCTTACTTTAATGGCCACCAGAGGGCGACAGAAACCCGGTTAAATGATTTATTCCCAGAAAAAACTGAGTTTAAAAATCGAAACATGGAGCTTCTAAGGATTAGTTTTTATCTAAAATTACAATTGTAAAAAATAACATAGTATTTTATATATTAGATATTATATATCTAATTTATTTTATTTAATTATGCATAAAATATATTAAAAATAGAAAGAAAACGGTTTAAGATTCTCTTCATAGAAAAGAAAAACGGTTCCAAAGGTTTTTGAAACAGTATGATAAGGAATTTGTAATGTAAAATTATTAATTTTAAACACTCTCTTTTTCTTAATTATTATTATTATTATTTTTTTTTTTTTAGGAATTTAGAAAATGGAATTCATTTCTATGGGGCTTCTCAGTGTGTAACCTTTGCAGCATGAAGGTTCAGGGTTTGAATCTTTTCTTTGGTCTTTCTTACATGTTCTCCCTGAGCATGCGTGGGTTCTCTCTGGGTACTCTGGCTTTCTCCCACAGTGCAAAAAACATGACTGTTAGGTTAATTGTTTTCTCTAAATGGTCCTTAGGTGTGAGTGTGTGTGAATGGTTGTTTGTCTCTGTGTTGCCCTGCGATGGACGGGCGACCTGTCCAGGGTGGACTCCGTCTCTCGCCCGTAGACAGCTGGACCCTGCTTGATGGAAAATGGTTGGATGAAACTCATTTCTATTCTGGTTCAGCCTCTAATTTGGGATTTATTCTGTATCCTAACCAGAAAAAAATAATTTCTAAGAAAGGATAAATATAAAAAATTAATCAGCAATAAGCAGATGTGAACAGCTGCTTTTACTGACACAGATCTTTGGTTGGACATCAGTCTTCTTGAGTTCCCACCTCTACCACTTATTGTAAAGCAGATTAACCTGGAATAAGGTCCGGCCGTTGCTGTAAGACTCGTTTTTACTACACATTTTGGAGACATTCAGATGTTTTTTTCTCCGTCTCTTTAGTTTTCAATGACTCTCTGCCTTTTATTTTCTATCATTCTCCCGGCTGATCTCTATCTTCTCATCATTCTGTAGAGTTAGGAAAGTTAGTTCTGCTCTATGCTCTGTATGGAGATAGAAACGTCTTAGATGGGACGGCTGCAGGACAGAAGCATTTTCTTGTCAATAAAACATTCAGGGATTCTTAAAGTGTCCAAAAGCATCGAGTCAGAATCTGTTCTTGTTCCATCAGAACCAAACTGGAACTTCTGAGTGAAAATCACACTAAAACATGGTGGTGGCAGCATTATGCTCTGGGGTTTTAAAACAAAAGTCATTACAGTGGAACCGAACGCCTTTTGGTGTCGACTAGAAAGCTGGAGAGGAAGACGAAGAAGATACTTTCATTTTTTTTAAACTTTCTAACAAAATTTTATTTACAAACTGAAACTATACAAAAATCATTCATACTCAACAAATAGGAGCCAAACGAGGTTTTAGTGTTTTCTTTTATGAATGACCTGCATCTGTGAGTGGTGTATAGGTGTGCCATTCACCTGCTTCTAGAGTTCGTGGGTGTTTGGCGTGCAGCATGGCGTGGGGGTGAGTCTGGCGGAGAAACTTCTGTTCTCTGAATTAAATCAAGCTCTTTTGCGAGTCAACACCAGCATGATCTGTCCAACAACTGCACTGCCTGAGGGAGCTTGTTCAATTCAGTTTATTTCCATAGCACCAATTCACATCATGTCATCTCAAGGCACTTTCCAGTTCACCAGATCATCCAGTCAGATTGATTCAAAGTTTTCTATCTAAGGAAAACCAGCTGATTGCATCGACTCATTGACTCTTCAGCAATCCCTCACACTAAGCATGCTTGTAGCGACAGTGGAGAGGAAAAACTCCCTTTGAACAGGAAGAAACCTCCAGCAGAACCAGGCTCAGTGTGAGCGGCCATCTGCTGAGGCCCACTGGGGTTCAAGGAGACAGAAGCAGAGATACAAAAAGCAGCTGTAAAATGCGGCCCCGTCCAGGAAACACACAGCCAGGCAGACAAGCTCCGAGCCAGCTCCCATGTCAGAGGATGAAGAGAGCACATCCAGTTAGTCACAGTCAGAGAAACAGGACTACACTGGAAAACAGGCCAAGCTCCAACATCTAGAAAAGGTGTTGATGGCAGCAGCACAGCTGATATTTCTCTCCAGGATGGAGTCACAGCCAAACAGGAACAGACCAGATGAAGCTACTATGAGAAAAAGCAGAGAGAGCAGAACGTTAGAGATTGAACTAACAGATTCTGCAGAGTGGGAGAATAGAGATAGAATGAAGCAGAATGATGAAAAAGGGGTCCCTATGTCCTCCAGCAGTCTAAGCCTATAGCAGCATAACTATAGAGATAGCTCAGGATAACCTTAGCCACTCTAACTAGAAGCTTTATCAAAAAGGAAAGTTTTAAGCCTAGCCTTAAAAGTAGACAGGGTGTCTGCCTCATGGACTAAAACTGGAAGTTGGTTCCACAGGAGAGGAGCCTGAGAACTAAAAGATCTGCCTCCCATTCATCTTGAAAACAAATGAAAACAAAGTTTTCATTTCAAATTCCAGTGAAAACAAAGTGCCGGAACGCAGAACAGTGAATGCTCTGTGAACATCGGCCAACGACACGTCATCTTAGCGTGCCGTATTAATGGTCATTTTGACCTCCTAAATAGGAAGCTGGTTATTTTGTAGTTCTCCATCAAATCTTGTTAGAACCTCCCAACTGTATAAAATCCTCCATGTTCTGTGTGTCTCTGTGGAAGAAAGGGCAGCTATAGAGGCAGGGGCGGATTAAGGAAAATTTGGGGCCCTAGGCAAAGACAGGCAGGGGGCCCTCTGAATTGAGAAAACACATAAAACAGAATCATTATATAGATAGAGAAACATCCATTATTTGTTCTACTTTTTGTCCCTTTTCTGGTTGCTTGTTTTGTTTTGGCAGACCCCTCCAATAGAAAGTTTTCTTTTAAAAATTAGGAAACTTCCAAACAGAAACCCCACATTCATATCTTCAGGTAACACAGAGTACATGTCAGACTAAATAATATTACTTTAGCGATAGTTTCAAGGTGTTGCTTTATTGTATACCTCATACCATGTCTTTCGGTTGTGCTGTTCTTTTTTCATCTTGTTACAGGTGATGAAGCAGACAGAAAATGTTTTCTCATTATCTCCGTTCTATCTCTTCTTTCTGTCATTTTCCTTTTCTTCTTCTGTTTTTCTGCTCTATCTACATTGCAGTTTCCATATAAACTGTAAAACTCCCTGCATAATTATAATAAAGCAATTTATATGCATGAAACAAGTGGAGCAATATGGCGATAGCCGTACTGCTCCACTTGTGAAAGTAAAATCTGTTGGGCTCTTTTTGGCATCAAGACAATTTTTCTCTTATTGCCAGACAGGACACTGTAAAAAAATAAAAATAAAAAATTAGGAAACTTGTTTAAAACACCCAAATTAATAACAGATTAAAACAGGTTTGTGGTGATGGCACAATGTGAAGTCCTCCACTGGAGGAGAAGATTCCAAAAAAGTAAAAATAAAAACAAAACAATCCACTGGACTTTGTTTCCAAGTTTGAAGATGTTTTGCTTCCATTTTTCAATTTAAAAAATTCAGTTTTGAATTGAAAAATGTTCCTAAATCAGAAGCAAAACATCTTCAAACTTGGAAACAAAGTCCAGTTATAAAGATGCTTAAAATAAACTGAATCAAAATCCAGTTTAAAGCTGTGTGTCACTGAAACATCAACAGGAACGTTCAAAGATTTTCCGATCAACTGAATAAAAGGATCTAAGATCTGAACCAGATTACATTTTCATTTTAATATGAATCTAATTCTGGTCTAACTGATTGAACGACCCTCTGTGTGAAACTAAAGTAATTCTGCTCATCTCTGATGTTGCTGCTATTTTCAAATATCCATCACTGTAAAAATGTCCATAGCTGAATATTGGTTATTTATTCTCCCGTTTTATATTGTTAAAACAATTTACAGTGCAGTATTTCATTTGTTTATTTTTTTAACTCTTCACTATGGTGTTATTCGTATACATTTTCTAAGGTCCACATTTGTGGGGCCTTTTTTTCTATAACCCTTTTGCTGCTGAAAACACCGGAATTTCCCCATTTTGGGACAATAAAGGGATTTTCTATTCTATTCTAGAACCAGAATCAGAACCAAAAGCATCTTTTAGGAACAAGATTGTGACAAAAACAAGATCTGACTTCTGCTTCTCAGAGATTTATTATGATACATGAACTTTAGAGGAAGTACAACTCAATATAAAAGGAATATTTTATATTTAATCTGTTCTGAAACTCGTTGGTCTGTGATGCATTTTAAATGTCAGAAAGAAAACAAACAGGATTAAACACAATAAAGAGTCAGAGCGCCACCAACTGGACACTGATAGCAGGACTGAAAAAAATACTTGTTTATTATGTAGGCAAATGAAGATGAAGGTGATGCTGACATGTTTATTGTTTAATGTTTACAGGCTGTGTCCTCCTGAGAGAAAGGTTAGCAGAGACTGCTCCCTGGTGGTGATCATCAGTCCTGCAACAGCAAACAGCTGGAGAATGTCTTTAATCGCTTTTTTTTGTTTATCCCCTCAAAAATATTTTTAGGCTTTTATTTTTAAAATACCAGAAGGATTTTTATTGACTTGTTTTATTATCGCATGGTGATATAATTTTATGTGAGTTTTAAAACATTTGGTGCCATTTTGTTGTATTACTTTTAATGTTACGTTATAGTTGTTGTAAATCAAACAAACTGAAATGACATTAGAAAGAAATTCAGGAAAATATTTACATAAAGATTTTGCTCTTTTATATATTTTATATTTGACACATCACCTATATTACCTATTTAGAACTGTTTTAGGTATATTTTATCACCTACTGAGGACAAACAGATCTTATGGAGACCAAAGGCTGGTCCTAATGTGGAAGAACCCTGTTTATAACCTTAGAGAGACAGTTTAGAGGTATGGTGTGAAATAACTTTAGGTCAGTAATTCAGTTTTTGATACATTATGGGGCCCATTTTCTGCTCCTTGTGGGGCCCAATGCCTGGACTCCATGAGGGGGGTTACTATTTTTGGTTCAGGAGTCACATTAAGGACTGAGGTGTGAACTGAATTCCGGTTAGGGTTAGAGATATATGGTAATGGGGAAATCAGTGGAAGTCAATGGAAAGTCCTCAAAACTATAGTGATACAATAAGTGTGTGTGTGTGACCTGCACACACGTTGTGTGCCACTGCTTAGTTACATGACACTTCTTGTTAAAACCATATTATGTCCACATAAGAACACTCCATAATACATTTTTAATGAAATACATTATTAATCATTTTATTCAGAGCTCCAATAACGAGGTTACGTGAACGCAGCATCCGGTTATTTTCATTATGATTGATTAAAATCCGCCGTCAAGTCATATAAAACGTTTGCGCTTCTTCACCATATATTACGGCCGCCCATTCGCTCGTGAGGCGTTTAAATACAGCTCGTTTTCGAAAATGCTTGAGCTCAGTTAGCTGTTAACTGATCGAAACAAGGTTATATCAGTACGATGTTCAGCTTTTGGTTCCTGGAAACTGTCAGACATCTTTCAGTGGAGGAGCAGAACAGCAATCTCACTTTTTTTGTGAAAACTATAAATGGGTTTATTTTATTTACATTGAGAGAGAAGAGAAAAGCTGAATGTATGAACGACAAAAGGTCCCAATTCATAGACTTCTGTGTTGCAGTTAAGGACATTCCTTCATGGGATTTTTATTTCGGAATAATTGAATGTCCTGAATGTAAAATTTGCTTTCATCACATCTTTAGAACATAAAAATAAAGATATTCAAGCTCTATACATAGTGTTCGCCTCAGAATAAAATATAATCTGGAGAAAAAGTTTGGATTCTGTCTCATACATTCATAATAACAAATATAATTAAATAATCATCTGTTTAAGGCAGTTAAACACTTCATTTGCACTGAACTTGCAACCTATCTAGAGCTCCATCTAACGATTATTATACGAACCGATTCATCTGTTGATTATTTTAATCTATTAATAAATCGGATGGCAAAAGGTTCCTTAAAGAAGACTTTGAGGAGTTGAGGAGTTCTGGATGGAAGATATTGATCGACAAAGAAGTTTTTTTTATCTTAATTGCAAAATGTTTACCTTTTTTTTTATTGTTACGTGATCTAAAGGCGTGTTTTAGATTATTTACAATTAACGATTAATCGATTACTAAATTAGTTGACAGTTATTTCAATAATCGATTAATCACAATTAATTGTTTCAGCTGTACTCTTAGCAAAAAATAGTTTATTCAAGTATACTAAAAGTGCACTAATTTCATACTTAAAATCAGGCAGTGCGCTTAGAGTTTACTTATTATAAACTATATTTCATATACATAACAATAGTATAGTCAAGTGTAATTGACTATACTATTGTTTACTTTATTGTTTACTAAAGTATACTTTAAGTATACTTTAGTAAACTTAAAAATGTCCCAATTTAGTTCGAAGAAGTATTACTTTAGTAATACCTCAAGTACACTAAAAGCACATTAGAATTTACTTTAAGTATACCACTTTTTGCTTCTCTATTCTTTATTAACTTGTTTTTATCCCACTATAGTGTTTCAGTTCAATTAAGGTAAATTTATCCAGGTGTATTTTAACAAATTACTTTGAAGATTTTATAAATATAGTTTAAATTTAAATTTTAATTGATTAATGAGATAAAACCAGCTTAGCTTTGCTTTCACAGAGATTTCCATGATGAATTTGCCACTCAAAACATGGCGGACATATCAGCAAATAGCAGGGCGGGTACACAAGGCCGTAAGTAACTCTGCAAAGGCGCAGATGTTTGTCGTTTAACCGCCGTGGTGAATTCAGCTAACTACACAGAGAGAGGGGGCGCAGCCTTAAATATTTCTCCATCGATTAACTTTATTGCCTGACAGGGTTAAGACGTAACTTTTTGAAGGTTTAAGTCCTTTCGGACAGCGGCATTACCCGAGGCATAGCTGTTAGTAGTTAGCTAACGCTGGGACTCTTTACATTATGCTATTTAATCTTATTTAATGTGTTTGACCGTTAAATAAGAGGAACGGGGAACAAACTAACACCAACACAGAGTATGTAAGTATAACATATAATTTTCGCATCTTTAAATATTAGCTATATGTGGTGTTTGTACATTTTTCCGTGTTTACCAACATGCTAGCTGTGTTAGCATCTGGTGTTTACAGTAAAGATGAAGGTTAGCATCATCCTGTTTTCCACTGGTAGCTCAGCTGCTTCTGTTTTCTGTTGCTAATAGAACCAACAATGAACCAAGCAGACAGTTAGCATTCATGTAGAGCTACGTCTCACATAAACATCCTGGTTTTTTCCATTAAAAATATAATAAACAGAGTGATTATGGAGACAAAATAAGCTTCAAATATGGGCGAAAAAAGCTTTTAAAACAATGACTATAGAATCAATGCAACTACTGTCATTATAATTGATAAAATAAGATATTTAGCCTAAAACGATAGGTTGGCTCTTTCTGCTTTGCTGATGGGAAATGATCAGTTTCTGCTCCTGCTCCGCCCACTTCCACTGAGGCTGCACTTCCACACTAACCCATCCATCTATAAACCCATCCATCCATCCATCCATCTATAAGCTCATCCATCCATTAACTCATCCATCCATCCAGATCAACAAATACTAGATATTTCTTACAGTATTTGAGAAAGCAAAGTTTCAAGCAAAAGCAGCTTTTAAGAAAGAACAACTAAAAGCCTTCTCTACCAAAATTGATATTTTTTTTAGTTTGCTTTTCAGATGTTTTTATTTATTTATTATGGTTTTCTTCACAGTCTCTTTTCAGATGTTGAAAGTTGAATAAAAAACAAAAATGGAGAAATTCTATTTTACAAATTGCTATTAATAAAATCCAGTTCTGCAGATTTGACTCTGTAAACTTTTACTACCCATAAGTATAGAGGTTTGGATCGAGATTTAAAAATATTACTTAAAAAATGAAAGTCTAAAAAGTAAAATCTGGATAAAATAAAAAATAATTGAAAAATAAAATCTGAAAAGATAAAAGCTTAAAGAATAGCAAGCTGTAAAAATATTGTTTTAAGTTTTAGATAGGGATGCACGATATTGGGATTTTGGCCGATATCCGATATGCCGATATTTTAAAACTCATGTAGCCGATAACCGATATCGATACCGATGTTAAAGCTGGACAAAAATAAGTAGTCATTGAAAATAGCAGTTTTGTTATCCATTTCTGACACTTTGAAAAATAATATACTCAAATATATTTTCATATGCTGATATCAAATGGATTTTTAAAAACGCGGTATCGATCTATTTTACTTGCAAAACCTCGTGAAATTTCATCGTTCTGTTACAAACTCTGAATTTTCGGGGGATTTCGTAGCATAACGATGACATATAGCAATATTTCATTAGTAAAAGAGATTGATATGGTGTTTTTAAATGGCAATATATCAGCATATGAAGATATTGGGATATTTTAATGTATCAATATTTTTTCCCTCGTCTTTAGAAGTTTTTAAGTCTGTAAAAAAAGACGTTTTTGTGGAAGAAGAAGTAGTATTTTTATTTTTTATTTTTTTACTTTAGAAACTCAGAAGCTGATCAAATATCGGGTTAAATATCGGTGGGGTGGCCGATGTTCGATATTCAGTTTTAAGGCCGATACCGATAGGGGGCTGATTATATCGTGCATCCCTAGTTTTAGATAAACATAAATTACTCTTAAAACCTTCAAGCTTTCAAACTCACATTCTAAAAATGTTCTTTTCTTAAAACGTGGTCTTTGCTGCTGATAATATTGAAATGAAGCTCTGCTAATGCTGCACTGTTGTTGTTTTTAATCCATTAGTCATCAAATTTCATATTAAAAATGGATTTTAATAATTCATATTAAGCATTCTTTTCCCTGTGTGGATTAGATATACAATCTAAATATTGATTTAAGGAAAAAAAAGAAAGAACCTGATGAACAAGTTAGACATTTTGGGGGTTTTCTCCAGAAAGGGCTACGGTTCTTTTCTCCCCCAAACCGACATGATCATTTAAATGTCAAAAAAATATACATATTTCCTAAATGCATGAAAATTATATCTCCTAAAAATTAAAAATAAAGGGTTTCCTTTATATTTGTAATTTCCATCAATTTCATGACTGTAGATCTGTTTTCCTTTCTTTTTTATAAAACAGAGAAAAATAAACATAATCAGTTTCAGTTGGAATTAGGAGATCACAAAGAAAACCTGCAGTGGAAAGCCTGATTGGTCCGTTTCTAATTAGACTTTTAATTTCCTGGATGTCAAACCAGCTCCTGCTGGGTGAGGGACGTCCAGTCTGTCCATCGGTCCTGTAGGAGCAGCTCCAGAGGGTGATCTGTTGGAGCGGCTGGGAGTCAGGATGCCTCTGTTCTTCCGGAAGAGGAAGCCCAGCGAGGATTCCCAGAAGAGGTTGGAGCATCAGCTGTACTGGGTGAGAACTGGGCCGGGTTCTGGGCTGTGTGGAGTACGGAGGGAACTTTGCTCCAATATTGCTGCAATCAAAAAACACGTAATAAACAAAATGCAATCCAGAAATAAAACTGCTTAATAATTAAGGAGAGGTTTCAGGTGTCAACTTTGCTGTTTTGTTATATTTTATTTTTTCAAACCGTATGTTTTAAATTGTGTTGTCGACATTTATATTTTCAACGTTTTTTAATTTTTTTTATTTCTCTTTTTCAGATTGAGTTTTACGAATTGCATTTTTAAATCTAACGTTGCTAACGTCCAGCAGATGCAGTTTCTAAACAAAACAATTCATAAAACCAAATCTAAAAAAAAGAGAAATAATAAAAAAGATGAAAATATAGAATGTATAAAGAAAGAATGTTAAAATTGAAACCTTAGAAAACAGCAATTTTACTCTCGTAATCTTATTTGATAGAGAAGTTTTTTACAGTCTTTGGATTTTTTTCATTTACAGAATTTTCAAATTTCCATTAAAGTGCTTTTTTTTTTTTATTCCATTTACAGTTTCTTTTTTTATTTACATAAATTATTTTCTTTCCTAATTTCTATTTACAAGATGTGTTTGCTTTTTTTCCTTCAAATTGTCATTATAACATAAAATGTTTTATTTATTTGTTTTCCAAATTTCCATTTACAACACACTTTCTTTGGTTACTTTTTAATTGCGTTTACATTCTTTTTTTTTTATATTTTCATTTGTAAAATATGGATTTTACTTTTTTCAAATCTTGATTTACAGGATGAATTTTTTGCTGGCAACAATAATAATAAAAAATTCCTTCCATAGTTGTGTTTTTTGGACGCCCATCTGAACTATAAAGATCAGCACATGTTGATTTTCTGCAGAAAAATAAAATGTTTTTTTTTTTATATTTTTCTTATCTGATCTGCAGGCGAACCAAAATGGAGCCGGCGACATCCTGGACGTCTCCGGCTGCGAACTGGCAGAGGTGAGGACCAAACTCTTACAGTAGGAGCAGTTTTCCTACTTTAGCCGTTAGCTTGATGGGGATAAGCTACCAGCTACTCAGAGTTAGCCCTAAGGCTAGCACAGCTAGCATTTCTTCTGCTGTTTCCTTCATCGTTTCTAAAAGCAGGCTCCTCAGTCCTCAGTTGGTGGATGATTGAAAACCATCTGATGGACTTTCTGGAACCTGCTGAGCCGGCCCACCAGATCCGGCCCACAGGATCAGCAGAATCAATCCTAATCAAGTCTAGAGATGATGGCTGGATCTGTTTAGCTCAACATCCAGTGTTGGTTCTTCTTCTTTACTCTGTTTTCCTCTCCGTCTCACCTAAGATCAACATCTGGACCGTAACCTGACAGGTCCACTTGTTTGGAGAACAAAGGTCCAACATTTACTTGTTCTGACCTTTGATCACATCTTTACCTCTTTAGCATTGTGGCTCAGAGATCATCTCCAAAGTGCTTCTGGGTCATTAGAAGATGTTGGCAGAAGCTGCTGAAAATCCAGTAAACATTGATGCTGCAGCTTTTCTTTAGATGCAACCATTGGGAGCAGAAGAGGAGAACCATTTCAGCTCCTCTGCTCCGGCCATCAGTAGAATCAATCTCAGTTGGACTCTTTCTGATCGTTGTTTGACTCCTCGGTTTTGGCTGAATTTGACTACAAATGGAATCAGAAACGGCATTAAATGTCCCGTTCGGTTCTTTCCAGAGTCTTTTATTAGATCTGTTGTCAGCACAAACCTGGAGGAAGCTGATGTCAGGAGCTTCCTCTATGCCATTTATTTCCCCTTTTCCTCCCGTTTGGTTGGTTGATCCCAAAGCTGTGAGTCTGTGGCGTATTTGGTGACGTCATCTGACCCTGTGAGCAGAGATTGTCCAAAAACTCAGAAACTCAGACTGAAACAGAGATCAGGAGCAGCTGCTAGTGAATCGAGCCTGCCAGCAGATTCTGTTCCTTTATTACAAACCAACCAAACCAACGGGCAGCTGGGATGGGAATTTCAGTTTAGATTCATAAAGCCACAGATTTCAATAACTCCAGGTCCGTTTCTCCATATGTGTTCTTGAGCGTTCTCGTGTCCTCGTGAAACTTCATCACTGTTCCAATTGCCGAGAACGCCAGACCGACAACGCACCAAATCCCCGGATCTTGTTCTCGCCCCGCCCACTTTATGGAGTATGCGTCAGAGCAGACTCGTCCGTCCTTGAGATTGACAGCTGTCCCAGCATGCACTGCGGCAGCAGCAGCTTTCAATGGATCTCTCCATTGAAAGTTTTCTGTTGCTGTTGTTCAATAAAAGTAAGTTTTAAGATAATTTCATCAGAGAATATTATACTTTAAAGCGTCACTATATGGTCCATTTACAAATTTAATGTGTGATTTTTAAAAAAATATTTCCGAAGTTGAGAGGACCGCAGCAACCAGCGGAGCTCCGAAGCTAACAGCAGCCAGGGCTAATGTTAGCCCGTCTGCAGCAGCCCTCTCTCTGCATTGCCGTGTGTGAAGGACCGCTGGCTCTGATGGCGATTTTTTTTGCTTTTATTTGGCAAAATGTTCATTTGATTTGTGTTTATCTGACTGTGTTCATTATTATACCCCCACTAAATGACAAAAGTCATAAATTATTATTATCTAGAGACTAGGGATGCACGATATTGGGATTTTGTCCGATATCCGATATGCCAATATTTTAAAACTCATGTAGCCGATAACCGATATCGATACCGATGTTAAAGCTGGACAAAAATAAGTAGTCATTGAAAATAGCAGTTTTGTTATCCATTTCTGACACAAATAATATACTGAAATATATTTTCATATGCTGATATCAAATTGATTTTTAAAAACGCGGTATCGATCTATTTTTCGACTTTCAAACTTTGTAACATAATTATGACTTTGAAAGTTCAAAGTATGACTTTGAATCTCATAATTACGACTTTCTATTTGGTATTTTTTATTTTCATGTGGGGGAAATGGGCTTCCATAGGAGAAAGATCTCGCCCATGGAGCCATTTCTGTCAAGACTCTCCTTCTTTTTTCTGAAATGATTTATCTTTAATACATAAATGATAACAACAACAAACAAAAACTAAAACAGAAATTTTGCACCGGCATATGAGGAACAAAAAAAAAAGTAAAGACATAAGTCTGCCTTAGAAGAATAATTTGGATTATACAATTTAGTAGAAAAGAAGCGAAAGAGAGAAAAATGATTAGGAAATTATTTGTATTATCTCTACCTCCATTCATTAACATCCTTTATACCTTCTGGGAAAGCAAACATATTCACTCTCATTTGATTTCCAAATATAAATTAACTGAGAAATTTATCTTCTGTACATCATAATTTTAAATCTCACAGGCAGCTGCTAGTGTCTGTTTTCTGTTCAAGTTGGCACATGTTATTCTCAGTGCCTCTTTATAAAAAGACTTGAAAGCTGAGTTCAGTGCTTTTAGCGATTTCTGAACCGCTTCATTCATCCAGGGTGGTTGGTTGACCTAGGTGGTAATTTTCTTTTTGATGCTGACGTCTTCAATGCATTTGTTGATGTAGGCTGACACAGTCATGGCAAACTTACCAATATTTAACAAGTTGTCATATGTTGCTGCAGCGTTGAAGATGTTCCAGTCAGATTTTGTTAAGATCCATCCGCAACTTTTTAAAGATAAAAAATGTCAGTATTTAACACATTTTGTGACCATAGCTCCAGCAGGCGTTGGCGATCATAGATGCGGGTTTGAAGTCTAGTTTGTATCGTTTTAAGCACCATATTCTGTGAAATTCCCAAGAGGAGCTGTTCTTGGCCGCTGCCTTGAAGCGCCGCCATGGGAATATCAAGGACTTTGTAATAGACTGGGCTGTTCCTGAAGCTCAGGACATAATGTGCTAACCTGACTCCGCCAGATGGATTTGCTCCGCATATCCATCTGGAAACCTTCCGTTGAAGTAATTTTGGGAAGGGGTGAAAATACTGGTTAGCTGATTGGCCTATGTTGGTGATAGACGGGCCAAATAAACCAATCAGATCAACGAAGCATATGACGTACTAACAGAGCGACGACGAAGAGGAGCCAATTGATAGATCAAACTCTTGCCGAAACCAGTCGGGAGAAGAGCAAAAACATCTTTTCCTCTGAGAAAAGCCTCCAGAGCAGTGTTTTGCTCTTCTTTCAGTGAAGAAATACTCTGTAATCCCGATAAAACTTGCTCGATAGCCACGCTAACGCTAGTTTCATCGGCTGAAGCCGCCATGTTCTTTAGACTGAACTGTCACGCTTCTCGTTGCGTCACACCTCAACCCGCCTCAAAGCCAACGCTGATTGGACGTTCGTTTGGTGAACGGCTCCAAATTTTCTTCAACGGAGAGTCTCCAGACTGATCTGCGAGTGAAACCTTGAAAGCTCGCCAGATCAGGATGGTCTCACGAGGCTAATGATGTGCAGGTTTTTAAGGTCTCTTTTCCTACTTCGTGCAGTCAGACAGGTTCTGTTTACAGGATTTCTTGATTCTTCCAATCTGACAGCAGTCAGGTCTGGATGGGGAGAGGAAAATTAACCTGGATTTGGTTAATTCCATTAATCCCGCTATAGCGGCCTTTTATTTTGACAGCCTGTAGACAGGAAGTAGTTGTGAAGGAAAGGAGGAGAAGACGACCTTCAGCAATGGGTCTGAACTCTGGGCGCTAAGCGCTCCACCAGGCACTGCTCCAGTAGATTCCTGTTTATTGGGTTGATTGCTGGTTTAAACTGGTCTCTCCTGGTTTTGAGCTTTTTTTTTCTTATTGTTTAAAAACTCTTCTTTATTTTATATTTAGCAAATGTTTAGATTAGTTTGATGATCAGAAATGCTGCAGACACTGACGCCTGGTTTCTTCTACAGCTCCCGTCCACGGTCTTCTCCATCTGTAAGGTCCAACAGAAGAAGGTAGGAAGCTCCGGTTCTGCTGCTCTGTGTTTGTAACAAACGAGACGATTAACTGCCGATCTTCTTCAGGTCCTGATTCTCCACACCAACGAGCTGAAGCACCTGCTGCCCAAAGGATATGACATCATCTCCCTGTCTACCTTAAAGGTACGATCCTTTGGTTCAAATCGCTTCAAAACTCCTCCTCTCTAGTGGTTGTCTGAACAAACATCATGTCGGCCAGATGTTTGGGTCCTCGGTTCTCCAGAGTTTCTGAAAGTTTTCTTCTGGTTCAGAGAAATTATAAAGTGAAGAGGACGTCAAACTTGGATCATGAGCTCAGAGGTGAAGCTCTGGGTTGCTGGGATCATCAATCAGACTGATGGTCAGAAGATATGGATCAGAACCAGAAGCTGAGATAAAACTCCTCAGCTTCCTGGGAGAGCTGTAAGGGTGGAGCTGCTGCTCTTCCACATTCAAAGGAGGGAGCTGAGGTTCTTCATCTGACCCTGAAGCCTCCTGGACCTCTTATTATGACGATAAAGCTTATTGAGTGGCTCAGGTTATCCTGAGCTATCTCTATAGTTAGGGGTGTGGCCTAATGACATCGACACCCTATATAAGATGTGCTTAATTATTAGGCAACGTCCTTTCCTTTGGCAGAATGGGTCAGAAAAGAGTTTTGGCAGACTCTGAAAAGTCAAAAATTGTCTTTCAGAGGGGTGCAGCAGTTTGGAAATTGCCAAGACTTCGAAGCGGGATCATCGCACAATCAAGCGGTTCATGGCAAATAGCCAACAGGGGCGCAAGAAGCGTTTTGATAAAAGAAGATGCAAAATAACTCCCATGAACTGAGAAGGATCAAGCTGCCAGGAAGCCATTGGCCACCAGTTGGGCCATATTTCAGAGCTGCAACATGTCTGGAGTGACGAGAAGCACAAGGTGCTCAATACTCAGGGACATGGCCAAGGTAAGGAAAGCTGAAAAAAGGCCACCTTTGAACAAAACACACGAGACAAAACGTCAAGATTGGGCCAAGAAATATCTGCAGACTGATTCCTCTAAGGTGTTTGGGTCTGATGAAAGGAGAGTGAGTCTTGATGGGCCAGATGGATGGATGGGCACCAGGCTGGATCAGTAAAGGCCAGCAAGGTCCTTATCGACTCAAGGTGGAGGTAGGGTAATGGTATGGGCAGCTATCATCAAAGATGAGCTTGTGGGACCTTTTCGGGTTGATGATGGAGTCAAGGCCAACTCCCAGACCTACTGCCAGTTTCTGGAAGACACCTTCTTCAAACAGTGGAACAAGAAGAAGTCGCCATCATTCAAGAAAAACAGGATATTCATGCAGGACAATGCTCCGTCACACGCATCAGAATACACCACAGCGTGGCGGCCAGAAAAAGCCTTAAAGGAGAAAAATAATGCATGGCCCCCTTGTTCACCTGATCTGAACCCCATGGAGAACCTGTGGTCCTTCATGAAATTTGAGATCTACAAGGAGGGAAAACGGTGTCTGGGAGGCTGTGGTGGCTGCTGCACGTAATGTGGATCGCAAACAGATCAAGACACTGACAGAATCTATGGATGGAAGGCTTTAGGGCGCAATGGTGGAGAAAGGTGGCTATATTGTTCTCTGATTTGTTTTTGTTTTTTATTACGTTGCCTAATAATTCTTCATTGTAATATTTACCTGGGCACACAGACATCCTCATAAAATGCCCAAATCTACAAAAAAAAACACTTCCAAAAACATGAAACTTTGATATTAAGAAGTCTTTTGGGTTGATTGAGAACATGATTGTTGCCCAATAATAAAAATAATCCTCAAAAATACATAATTCTGCACACAATGTAGGCTTAGACTGCTGGAGGACATAGGGACCCCTTTCTCATCATTCTTCTTCATTTTATCTCTATTTTCCCACTGTGCAGAATCTGTTAATTCAATCTCTAACGTTCTGCTCTCTCTGATTTTTCATCCTGGAGAGAAATATCAGCTGTGCTGCTGCCATCAACATCTTTGTTTCTAGATGTTCAAGATCGGCCTGTTTTTCAGTGTGTTTAGTGGACATGGCAGCCTTTTACAGTTGCCTTTTGTATCTATCCTTCTTTTTCTATGTCTGCTTCTGTCTCCTTGAACCCCAGTCGGTCTCAGCAGATGGCCGCTCACACTGAGCTTGGTTCTGCTGGAGGTTCCTTCCTGTTAAAAGGTTTTTCCTCTCCACTGTCGCTACAAGGATGCTTAGTGTGAGGGATTGCCTTTGAATCAATGAGTCGATGCAATCAACTGGTTTTCCTTAGATAGAAAACTTTGAATCAATCTGACTGGATGATCTGGTGAACTTTAAAGTGCCTTGAGGTGACAGGTGTTGTTAATTAGGCGCTATAGAAATAAACTGAACTGAAATTTGTTTTTCCCTACCCACAGACAGGCATCTCTTGTTCCTCTTCTCATTGATCTTCTTTCTGCTTGCCAGGTTTTGGATCTGCATGAGAACAAGCTCAGCTCTCTCCCAGAAGACATTGGACATCTGATCAACCTGCAGGTAAAACCCCTGCTTCCCTCAGCAGATCCACAGCAGAACCTCTGCAGCTCATCATCACCGTTCGGTTCCTCTCTGTCAGATCCTGAACGTGGAGAAGAACCGTCTGAAGAACCTACCGGACTCCATCGGGAAGCTGCAGCTCCTGCAGACGCTCAACCTGAAGGGTGAGGCGTTTATTTCCACGTCTCAGAGGGACAAACTGGCTGCAGCCGACCAGTTCTGAAGCAGACGTTTGTGTTTTTCTGACAGGAAACTGTCTGACTGAGCTGCCGCCGGCCGTCGGCTCTCTGAGCAGCCTGCGGACCCTGGATATCAGCGACAACGACCTCCAGCAGCTCCCCAAACATCTGGCCTACATCCGCACCTTGGAGGTGAGTGTGCGGCGGAGCGTCCCGTCTTTATGGTTTCCTGCTGGTTCTGATGAAACGTTTGTTCGGGGACAGAGCTTCACTCTGGATGCCGCTAAGATGAGCTACCCGCCTGCATCTGTATGCGCAGAGGGAACGGAGAGCATCCAGCGCTTCTTCTGCGATGGTAGGCCTAAACCTTCCTGACTTTTATACATGAAGATCTAACTATTCTGTTCAGCACTGATTGAGATGGTACGTAAAAGCTCTTATTATGGCGTCACATTTATTTCAAAACGCCAGCGAGCATAATAAACATACTTGCATGTATGTTAAACTACTTCTGCGCATGGTTTATCTACAGGGTTCCTGCGGGTCCTTAAAAAGTCTTAAAAGGCATTGAATTCTTCAAAAATAAAATTAAGGCCTTAATTGGTATTAAAATGTCTTAAATCAGTCTTTCGTAGGTCTTAATTTTTAAAACATCATAAATAGGATCATTTTTATTACGATTTATTTTTGTAATCAAAATAAAACGTTAAAATTGACTTTTTTTTTTTTTTTATTAAAAAATAACGGCTCGCCATTATTGGTTCCGTCCCGATAGCGGAACCAATAAAGCGTTGTTGGGGCCGGGACATTTGGGAGATGCGCCATTAACTTTTTGTCTGGAAAATATGAGCAAGTGTAAATGTAACCAAAATTGTCTCCAGCCAAGAGTTTTCTCCACGGCTAAAACCAGGGAACATACATGAGGCTCAGTGGATTTAGTGCAAGAAGTCATTCAAGCTCAGAACGATGGGAATTAAGGCAGTGGAGTCACACATGCGAAGCACGAAACACAAAGCGTCAAAATGGAGTTACAGAGAAACAGCCGGTATTTCTCAGTTTAGTTCCACCCTTGTCTCTGCAACGCCTCCACTTATCACCAAATCAAACATACTAAGAAAACCATACAAAGAAAAATAGCTGCTAAAAAGACTTAGCGCTGGTTATGTTGGGGCTTTAAAACTGATTTGTTTTGTTCCCTGCTAAAACAAAGTTTGTGAATTCAGTTAAATAATTGTTAAAATATATCTGTCATTTGTGTGTTTTTAGCTTTCTTCCTGTATGGGAAGCTTTTCAACATTTGAAACATTAGTGCAGTGGTTTATGTTAAAATAAACCTTTGGGTTAAGTTGTCGCAAGCAGGCTTTTCTTGTGTTTCTTGTGAATTTGGTCTTAAATTTTTATTTCAAGTGGCATTAAAAAGTCTTAAAAGTCTTGAATTTAACTTTCCTTATGCTGTAGGAACCCTGATCTACCACCACCACAGGCGAGAGGACGTGCGGAGACAGGCGCCATCAATAATCTCCGCTTTTTTCCCCTTTCCGCTCCTGTACTTTAGCCAAAGGCAACAGAGTTGGATGTAGCTAACCTTGTTCAGAGCATTTTGGAACTGCTGCTCCCGTGTCCCGCCTCGGTGTAACATCATCGGATGTGTCGCTTTGAGACATCTGATTTGCGGGCGCATTTCACTCCATAGAGAGTAGCTATGTGGTTGGAGAAGAGACACACAGCAGCACTCAGTGAATATTAACCAGCAGCTACTTCGATGTTTTGGTTGGTTAAAAATTAGATCATACCACAAAAAAAATCTATTTGTTTGACATATGGAGCTTTTTCAGTTAAAAATGACAAAAGGTTGTAAGTTTATACAAGTTAGTATTATAATGCAAGAAGCCTGAGAAAACAAAAAAATCTTTGCTTCTCAGAGGACCATGACTCCCAGTTACAGGTTAGAATTAACATGTTTTCTTTTTCTGCAGACAGAATCAGACCGCTACAGAAGAGGATTAGGGCCACTGGAAAAAAAAAAAAAAATTTTACCAGATTTTTTTAATTTTATTTCAGTTTAATATGGGAAGAAAGTCAGAATTCTGACTTTTTTTCTCTGAATTCTGACTTTTTTTCTCAGAATTCTGACTTAAATCTCAGAATTCTGACAGCTAACAAACATGTTAGCATCAAGCCATAGCCATGTCTGTTTTAGAGACTAGCTCTCTTGTTTTAATGACCTTCTGCTCCTCCATTAATGAGGGGACCCCTCGGGCACGTAAAGAGTTGCCTAATTCCGTAATTTTCCAAGAATGTGTCACTGGCCACCTCAAACAACTCACATCTTTGTCAGTGAAGCTGAGTGCTCCCACATCTCTTCCTTCATGGTGCCCATCCACATTAAAATCCAAAATTCTGAGAATAAAGTCAGAATTCTGAAAAAGAAGTCAGAATTCTGAGATTAAATTCTGACTTTTTTCCCATGTTAAACTGAAATAAAATATAAAAATCCGTTAAAGGAGAAGTTCACTTTTTAACACTTTTAGCCCATTTTCTGTAGTGTCCAGGATGAAATCGAATGATCGACACCAAAAGTTTGACAATTGCTCCTGTCTCTGCTTTTTGGCTCATTTAGAATGCCCCCCTGGCTGCTTTAGAATGGCTAGCATAGAGCATGTCCAATAATGTCCTTAAAACAACCTTAAACGTTCTTTTTTTTAAATATGCTACTCACCGGGTCGTCAGCGCTGTTCAATGACGTTCCAAAAAAAGTTTCGTGAAGAAAAAACGTTCCTGTAGTGTTTTATTTAGCATTTTGTAAATCCCATTGAGTTCTGTTGCAATAGTCAATATCCCTCCGCCACCGGAAACGGAAATGGGGCCTGTTTACACAGTTGTAGTCTTTTCGCTTCACTCTGTGTACTCCGACGTCGAGAATCAAGAATCCACCTTTCGTATTCCATTTTCAGAGTTTTTGAAAGTGTTTAACAGAGACGTTAGCACCTCGACGTCGGAGTACACAGAGTGAAGCGAAAAGACTACAACTGTAAAAACAGGCCCCATTTCCGTTTCCGGTGGCAGCGGAATATTGACTATTCCTACAGAACTCAATGGGATTTACAAAATGCTAAATAAAACACTACAGGAACGTTTTTTCTTCACGAAACTATTTTTGGAACGTCATTGAACAGCGCTGACGACCCGGTGAGTAGCATATTTAAAAAAAAGAACGTTTAAGGTTGTTTTAAGGACATTATCGGACATGCACAATGGAAGCCATTCTGAAGCAGCCAGGGGTGGATTCTAAATGAGCCAAAAAGCAGAGACAGGAGCAATTGTCAAAACTTTGGTGTCGATCATTCAATTTCATCCTGGACACTACAGAAAATGGGCTTAAAGTGTAAAAAAGTGAACTTCTCCTTTAACTTTTTTTTTTTTTTCAGTGGCCCTAATCCTCTTCCATAGACTGCATCTATATATCTTGAAATTTAGTTTCTGGCGTCATTATATTAGTAAAGATGTTCATAAATCTTTTTAAACAGAGGGAAGTAGGAAGAGCTGCAGATTTAAAGGCGAAACAGATTTACTGGGATATGCAACACGCAATAAAATATATCTCCAAGTTCACAAGAAAGTTTACATGAACAAAATATGCTATAATTAAAATGAGGCATAACCATATTTTTCTGGATGGATGGAATTGAAATTGTATATTCTGATATATCGATTTTGGCATCAGGATCGACTGTTATTCATAATGTTTTTTCATGCATTGATGTTTTTGGGCCCTATATATGTAACGCACTAAAGAGTCTCTTTAAAGAGATTGTTGTGCGTTTGTAGATAAACCATACGCAGAAATAGTTTAATGTTTATGTTGCTCGCAGGCTTTTTGAAATAAATGTGACGGAATAGACTCTGAGATGTGGAAAAACATGAAAGCAGACAACGATCACGACACCACCTGACAAATAACTGAGTTTTATGTTGTTGTAACTCGATGCTTGATGCGGTTCACAGAGCTAGGAGAGGAGTACTGCCCTCCGTCTCAGTATCTCCTGCCGGTTCTGGAGAGCGATTGTGGCAAACAGAACTCGGACTGTTTGGATGGACTGGAGGAGGCCTGGCAGGTACGTCTCACAAACACCAAACACAGCGTGAAGTTTTCACCAACACCGGGGTGCATTTTCTACTAATAAAGATCCCTGTTAAGCTTCTAAACTCAGATGTACTGAAATAAACTGCAGCTCCTCTGTTTCCGGTTCAGCATAAAGCAGAGTTAAGCTCTAAAACAATATTCCAATCTTTGAACATCTGCTCAATCATTCATCTGATCAGCTTTCTGATGATACACACTTAAGGAGCCAACATACTTGTGTGGACATATCTGTTTAGAGTCCATGCAGACTCTAGGAGGAGTCCGCCTCAACTTAAGGCCAATTTTTATGCAAAGTGTCTCACTAAACTGTATTCGTACTGAAATGTTTGCATCTGATCAGCTGATAACGGGACATTGCTGTAAGCAACCAGCTGCCTCACCGTCAGGTGTGCGGTTGAAGAAGAAACCATGCAAGGCGCCAACCTAGACTTTGTTTCTTTTGTTTTAAAATCCAATAAAGCCTCACTGTTTTTATTGCATTTAAAAACTTTGCCTCAGTTGTTATTCACATTTATTTGCTGCTATTTTAAAGAACACCTTAAATACATTAACACACCAAGCCTTAGAACTTGAACATTCCGTAAAGACTCTTAGACCCCCTTTTATCCCATTTTATTGGCCTTTCATTTACCCTGTGCTTATCTTCAGTAGTGTGTAGTATTTACATATTTATTAGGTAAAATAATACCGTAATGGAGATTTTTAACAGATATTTCAATGTTATGTAAATCCCTTTATTGTCCCACAATGGGGAAATTCACTCTCTGTATTTAAGCCATCCCCTTGGGGAGCAGTGGGCTGCCATTGTGTGGGGTTAAGGGTCTTACTAAGGGACCCAGAGTGGCAGTCTGTAGGAATGAGCGGCATTTGAACTCAGAACCTCCGGGACAATCTCCGGTATAATCTGTGGTTGTCTGTGATTATCTATACAGTGAAAGATTTATCTCTTGGCTCAAATCCACCTCATTTTTGAAGAAACAGAGACAATTTCCTTTGGTTTTTGATTAATAACTCTGCTGATAACCATGGTTTAAACTACTAAATTGGTGAAAGAAAACTGGATTTGAACAGCAGATCCAGGAGTCCTAACCTGACTCCGTCAGGTGGATTTGCTCCGCATATCCATCTGGAAACCTTCCGTTGAAGTAATTTTGGGAAGGGGCGAAAATACTGGTTAGCTGATTGGCCTATGTTGGTGATAGACGGGCCAAATAAACCAATCAGATCAACGAAGCATATGACGTACTAACAGAGCGACGACGAAAACACAACCACAAGCCAGGCACAAGCCAATTGATAGATCAAACTCTTGGTGAAACCGGTCGGGAGAAGAGCAAAAACATCTTTTCCTCTGAGAAAAGCCTCCAGAGCAGTGTTTTGCTCTTCTTTCATTGAAGAAATACTCTGTAATTCCGATAAAACTTGCTCGGTAGCCACGCTAACGCTAGTTTCATGGGCTGAAGCCGCCATGTTCTTTAGACTGCACTGTCGTGCTTCTCGTTGCGTCACACCTCAACCAGCCTCAAAGCCAACGCTGATTGGACGTTTGTTTGGTGAACGGCTCCAAATTTTCTTTAACGGAGAGTCTCCAGACTGATCTGCGAGTGAAACCTTGAAAGCTCGCGAGATCAGGATGGTCTCACGAGGCTAAGTATCATCTGCATATAGTGACATTCTGGAGATAAGAAATAATAATATGTGAGAGAAATTTTGACAATTTATGCAATGCTTTTGCGCAGAGTGACTCCATCTTCCACAACCAGCAGCCTGAGGCTTTTTACACTGAATGCTGTTCCTGTCTGAGTGCACATATGTGCAATGAACTAGGAGGACAGCTGCTGGAGATGGTTCATGTATTGACGGAGGTCTCATTCAGCTGTTTTGTTTCTGTTGCAGAGCAAATTCAACGACTATGAGAGGAAAAAGGTTGGTGACAAATCTCATTGTTGTTGCTTTCATTGAACTCCAAACAAGACACACAAACCAGTACATTTATGATAAGAAGAAGAAACCTTTATGTTTATTAAAGTTTACAGCCTTAAACTTGGACATAAGACAGTTTATTTAAAGCGTGTTGCTGATAATATGATTGAAGTTTAAAAATTCACTTGCTTTGTCCTTCAGGAGCAAAAGCTACAAGAGAAGCTGAAGTTTGAGCGCCACCTAGAGGAGCAACAAAGGGAGCACACTCAGCTGTTCCTCATGAACAACTCCCAGAAGGACAACCTGCTGAATTTAGTCCGACAGGTACGTCAGCGCCTCTTTTTAATCTGTTCAGCTCTGAACTGTGAAGGAAGGAATGGGTTTTAGAGGAAATATTTATGAGCATCAAAGGGAATCATGTTGGATCAATGAGAATCTCTGCAACATATCAGTGTAAACTAATGTTTCTGATTGCTTCATTTCACATTAAATTACAATTATTATTATCAGTAGATCATTTATTTTAGTATTACAATCCTGAAAGTGACCAAAACAACTATTCAGCTTCTCACAAAAAGTGCAGTTTATCAGATAAAAAAAAAGTTGTCAACAAACTGCTGTATATATTACTTTATAGATTAGTGGAAAGAAAAAAGTAGAAAAAGGAGAAAGTATTAAGTCAAAAGTACTCATTGCTTACCAGCACTTAAAACATGCACATTTTGAACGTTTTATCGGTGCAAAATCAAAACCATAAGGCCTCCTACATGTATCAGCAGCATGAGATGTTGCTTCTTCTCTGCATTTTTAGGCTAGCTTTTAATACACCTGTAGCCTCTCTCCTTATGGATCCGTTTCTCCACTCTTGTTCATCTCTGTCATCAACTGGAAACTTTGTAAAGCTTTTTTTATTGTCATTATACTGTCACAAGTACAGAGCAACGAAATTAACTCTATGCATTTAATCCATCCCCTTGGGGAGCAGTGGGCTGCCATTGTACGGCGCCCGGGGAGCAGTGTGGTGTTAGGCAGGGCTCGATGTTAACCATTGCCCGATCTCCCTAACCTGATCGATTTGCTCCGCATATCCATCTGGAAACCTTCCGTTGAAGTAATTTTGGGAAGGGGCGAAAATACTGGTTAGCTGATTGGCCTATGTTGGTGATAGACGGGCCAAAGAGGATGAATTGCAAAAAACATTTAAAAAAAAAACATGTATCATTGATATATATACAGAAATGAATATTAGGAACTATATTTATCAAACATTATACTGGGCAAGTGTAAATTGAACTTTCAAGGTTTCACTCGCAGATCAGTCTGGAGACTCTCCGTTGAAGAAAATTTGGAGCCGTTCACCAAACGAACGTCCAATCAGCGTTGGCTTTGAGGCGGGTTGAGGTGTGACGCAACGAGAAGCGCGACAGTTCAGTCTAAAGAACATGGCGGCTTCAGCCGATGAAACTAGCGTTAGCGTGGCTATCGAGCAAGTTTTATGGGAATTACAGAGTATTTCTTCACTGTCTTCATTGAAAGAAGAGCAAAACACTGCTCTGGAGGCTTTTCTCAGAGGAAAAGATGTTTTTGTTCTTCTCCCGACTGGTTTCGGCAAGAGTTTGATCTATCAATTGGCTCCTCTTCGGCGTCGCTCTGTTAGTACGTCATATGCTTCGTTGATCTGATTGGTTTATTTGGCCCGTCTATCACCAACATAGGCCAATCAGCTAACCAGTATTTTCGCCCCTTCCCAAAATTACTTCAACGGAAGGTTAGGATATGCGGAGTAAATCCATCTGGCCGAGTCAGGTTATCCTAGCTCTGCCTCAACAGCAGGATTTATCCACAAACACCTCATGACGGCCGACTGAATTTAAACATGTTTGATTTTTCTCCTGACCTTACGATTCCTGATCTGGAGGTGGTCGTGAGCGGCTAATCACCCCTCATACACGACACAGGACGCATGATCAGGCTGAAAGCCAGCCCGATTGAAATAATTCTCGCACAACTGGACAATCGGCCCGAAAAGGGCATAAAATCGTAAAGTGTAGGCCCGGCTTAACACAGTCAAAACCTTCCGAGAGCCGTTCAGTTTTCCAACAGCTTCATTGTCCTGACCGAACGCAGGGAAGGAACCCGATCTCCATCTGACAGGTTGTTTCTGCTGTTCAGGATCAGGAGCGTGCGCAGCTGGGCTTCAGCCAGCAGCAGAGGGCTCAGGAGGCCGAGAGGCAGCTGCTGTTGGAGAAGGTCCGGCAGGCCGAGGACAACATCAGCTGCCGCATCAGCAGTTTGTTGCTCGACAACAACAGGTAGGAAGCACAGAGGCTGGGAGCTGTGAGATCACCGCCGCCGCCGCCTCTCCTGTGGTTTAACATCAGAGTCTTTTCTGCAGGCAGAAGAAGAGCGCAGAGTTCCTTCAAGCGTTGGAGGAGGATCGGTGAGTCTTTGAATCTTGTCCACATCCAGCTGTGCAGTACAGAGAAACTGATCCAGCTGTTTCCGCTCAGTGGAGCGGGCAGCTTCCAGCTGTTTCCTCACGTGGGGGGGGAGCTGGCAGTTCTGGGCCCATAACATCCAGGGGAGTTTTGATAATATACTTTTATATTGAGAGCAAGCTGCACAGCATTTTTCCATCAGCCCACATGAAGACATCCATACGTCTTCCAGGTGGTCCATTGACAGCATCATAAAACACACCATTCTCCAAGCCTTCAATCCATGAAGTATCCCACAAAGTATGTCCTGGCAGAACAGGACGGGTCCCCTTTACCTTGTCTTCCAGTTGAAAACAATTATCAATTGCAGAGACCAGCTGACCAGATCCATTGTTTGATTCGGGTGATATTGAGAGAAGGCTTAGAAAGACAAAAGAACAATAAGATTATTCTGTTAAAGGTTTATTTTCTGTGCCTGCCTCATTTTATGACTCATCATAGATAAGAAACACTAAACATCCTAACATTTGGATCAAAGTTCTGTTGGTTTCCGGCTTTAGAATTAAATCTGGCTTCATCTGTTTTCATTGGTTTACAGGATCCGGATGGAGCAGCTGACCGCCATCACTCAGGAGGAGGCCGACTCACTGCGGAAGAGGGATGTAGCAGGTAGAGAGTCCGTTTGGACGTCCGTCCTTTTCTGGTTCTTCACCCAAAGTATTGAAACAAACAAAAAAAATGAATATAATTAAGTTATAAAAATACACAATGAAAGATCTATAACAAAACATCTCAGAAAAGAACCTGCAGGATTCTGCTTGTTGTTAGAATCTGAACCAGAGTTCTGGAGCCACAAGATCTATGAATACCTTTGGTTAAAAATAATAAAGAGCCAAAAAAAACACTTTCAGCAGTTTTCCAGGTTGTTTTTCCCCAAACAACATTAAAACAAGGTTTCTATGGGTCATTGAAAGCCTTAAAAATTTGTAAATTGAAAAAAAAAAATCATTTCAAGACACCTGGAAAGTTTTTTTTTTTTTTTTAACTCAAGATATTTTTTATTAAGTTTTACATAAACAAAAAACAGAGCACAGTTATGAGGTGTTGGCTCACCTTGGCAAGGTAGGCTTATAGAAGCCAGTTGAACAAATTGCTCATACAAAAGTTTGTTAAAGTAAAAGAAATATAGACTTCACAAATAGAGAAAGAGAAAAACTACAATAAAACAAGTCAAGTAGTGAAGCACAGAGATATAATACAATAAAACAAACAAAATAACCCCTTCCCCATCAGCCAATCCGTCGCTGCCAAAACTATATCATCACTCCACAACATTCAGGACCCGCCTAAGGTAGAATCAGTGCAGTTTAGCATGTCTGAGCAATTAAAGAGCTGGAAATGCTTTCAAGAAATTTCGAGTTTTAGACAAGACATGATATCTTGCAGCCACTGTGAATGAGATGGTGGGGAGGCATCTTTCCATCCGAGTAAGATTGCACGACATGCCAAAAGTAAAGCAAAGGCTATAGAATATTTTCTAGTAGCACTTGAAACAGCTCCACCCTCAAGGACCCCAAATAGGGCTGCAACTGGGTTTGGTTCCAATTTGGTGTTAAATGTGCAAGATAATGTATTAAAGACTGCCTTCCAGCAGTTGCTTGATTGAGGACTTAGACACCTGGAAAGTTTTAAAGGCCGATAACGATTACTTTCCGATATGTCATGCTGATTTAATCTGTTTTTTTTTTACATTTTTACATTCACTAGGACAATGTTGATTTTTCTTCCTCCATTTTCATATGAAAACAACATAATAACAAATGTTTACAAGTCAAAATTTAAACAAATAAGAAAAAATTACTAAAATATCAAACTTAAACAATGGATCCTAAATGAAAGGAGAGGTATTTCACGTGACTTGCATCTCAAAGCAAGGCTGCTGGATGCACTGATGAATCAGCAAATACAAGAATAAAACACCAATATCTGCTAAGAATATGTGGAATTCCACATACTCCGTCAGCGCTCTGTCCCGCTACGTACGTCGTGCAGAGTACTTGTCTATCATGTTAATCAATGAGAGCTGTTCTCTACATCCACCGCAATCCTCCACTGCAAAAATGATCTAAAAATGAGTAAAAAATGTTTTAAATTAAGTGTATTTACCCTTAATTTGAGCAGGTAAATGAGATGGTTTGCCAACGGAATGAGCAATTTTACTCTTGAAAGAAGACATTTAGATAATATGCCCTTGATATAAGACAATGCAACTCTGTTTTCTTATTTTAAGTGTAAATTTTCTTGTTCCATTGGCAAAATGTCTCCTTTACCTCCTCAATCCAAGAACAAATGCACTTATTTTAAGAAAAAATTTATCTAGATTTGGATTTTTTCCAGCTCAGCACTTAACCATCCACGTCTTCTCCATCCGTCAACGTCAAAATACAGAGCCAAGTTATTTTTTGCTCTGCTCCGGTACGGCCAGGTCAAGATCCGCTATTGCAATCACTCCAAACAGAAAAAAGAATGTCAAGAAGATCCAGTTTGTCAAATTAAAATATAGTATCAACAGATTGGTAACTACAAATTAGAGCATAATTCTTATATATTCCCAAAAACTAAGACCGTTAATTGAATGATTGGATGCAAACTATTGGTACTTCCTACATACCAGGAAGCAGATTTCTCATTATGATCAAAATTTTTATTTTATACCGAGAGGCTTAAAAGTTTAATCAAATCCAGTCACAACAACTTCCAAGAGCGAATCTCACAACTTCAAAACAAACTTCTTATTGCAGGGCAGGATGAAGAGATGCTGAGTTCGTAACTACAGAACAAACATAGTTCATATAAACCAAGGGTCTCAAATAGGGGTGTAAATCACATCCATCATGGCGATTCGATTCAGTATAGATTTCCTGACCCAACGATTCGATTATTTTCGATACTCAAGAAAACACGATTCGATTCGATTAATTGGTTAGTTTTCTTTTGTTTGTTTTTTTACACCTTACAGGAAAGACAATGTTACAAATTTGAACTAAATCAATGAAAGCTGTAATATCGTTATGCATTTTTTTATAGAAACAACAGCAAATAACAGAAGTAGAAAAGTTGTACTCCACCTATTCCTATTAAAACCACATTCACTGAAAATTAATAATACCTCTGCGTTATAGATTCTGAAAGGCTTAGCATCAAAAAATACTGAACAGAATCAGTGCAATGAGTGCAATTCAATACCTCGGCTCCAGACGTCCCGCCCCCTCCGCAGACAGCGCCGCAGACAGGAGGCCGGCTTGTTTTGTTTTTATGACTGAAATTGCGGAAAACAACTCGTGAAGTTTGACCCGCTAGAAGAGCGAGGTGCACGAGAACGCTGGGACCCTTTTTCCACCTGGATCTCCGCTCTTTTTGGCCCTCATGTCCCTCCGTCGTCAGACTAAACTCGCCCCCACTTCCTCGCCGCCTCGGCCATATCTAGACCCACAGCGTGTAGCGCAGACCACGCTTCAATATTGAGCATAAATCAAAAATGTCTGCGTCAAGCTCACTGCAACACACTGCTGTAAGAGTATAACCAGGAAGCGAGGTAGGAGGGCACAATAGGTTTAGCGCCACCGCAGCACAGGAGGGAGAATTACGCCCAGGAGCAAATGGATAAAAAATGCATCAATACGTCTTGCGGACGTATCGATGCATCGGATCATCGGCTGTTGGATCGACGCATCGATACAAAACGATTATTATTTACACCCCTATTCTCAAACTGGTTCCAAAAAAGGGCCGTGTGGCTGCAGGTTTTCTTTCCAACCAAGCAATCGCGCACCAGACTCCAGTCATCTCATCAACTGACTGCAATCTGAACACAATGACTTGATGAGATGAATGGAGTCTGGTGTGAGGCTGCTTAGTTGGAAAGAAAACCTGCAGCCATCGGCTCTTTCTGGAACTGGTTTAAGATCCCTGATATAAACCATGTATGATCCTAGTTATCCCCGTTACAAAAATCCACGACAAAAAGAAAATAGTTGGACAGAAATTGAACATATGCTGGATTTGTTTTAATAAGTCATATTAAATTAAGCTTTCGTTTCCGCGTGTTTTTCTCTTATGAATTTAATAATGATAAAGTAGCGCATGCTCTCCTCCAGCTCAAGGGATGTCGGAGAGGAGCAAGACGGGACGAACTGTGGAGGCTGTAGGCTTTGGCTGGTGGTCTAAAGCACAGTGGGGCGGAGCGGAAAGGGGCGGGGCAGTGATGGAGGATGTGGGATTTCGGTCTGATACGGTCTTATGCTGGGGAAGGTTTTAAAATGTTGAGTTCCACGAACAGCCTTAATCATCCTAACCCAATGGTTACGTTTCATATCAGTTTAGACATTGGTCCTAATATCATGGTTTATGGCACCATATAAATATGAATGTTGGCTGTAAATATATTATTTGTTTGGATGGAGGCTTTATGTTCAATCCAACCTCTATGCCACTAAGAATTATAATTAATTTGATTTGTATTACAATCCTTTTTTGGAACACTAGTAACTCCTGATTGAAACCACAACAGAGGCATGCTCTTATTTTGAAGTCTGTTATTTTATTTTATTTATTGAACCTCTTCCTATTCCTATTAAAGTTTTGGTCCTGAAACAACTCCCATCATTTCCTGAGAGCAGAAGGAGGAAGAAACAAAACAGACCCAAGAAACTGGTTGAAAACAGCAGAACTTTCCGATCCAGTTTCCTTAGAACTGTGGACCGGGAGTAATGACAGAGTGGGCGTGTCTCTCTGCACTCTGGGCTCTGATTGGACAGAAACACCTACTTCTTCCATCGGTGGGAAGGAGACAGAAAACACCTACGATTCAGTGAAGAAACATTTTAGATTCACAAGGTTCTGAATATTTCACAGCGTCGGTACCTTTCTGAGCTGGACATTCAGTGGGAAAAATTTGGCTAAGAATCTTTAAACTGTAGCTGTGATCGCGGAAAAAAATAGAAATGTGATAATCATGATGTCTCGGTTGGGTAAACTAACCCTCTGTTAAACTGCACCTTTGGATCATTGTTCGTATGTCAGGGCTTCCTGTTTTCTGGTAGAACCCTTCTTAAATAGTTCACTTTAAAGCATCACAGCCCAGTTTCATGATGTTTTCATCTCTGCATCTTCTGTTTCTTGCTGACCAGTTTTCCTTCTCGTTTCCAGCCGCCATGCAGAAGATGCTGTCAGACGGCTGCGCCATGAGCCTCCTCCAGGAGGCTAGCGACAGTCGCAGACAAAGCCTGGTCTCCGAGGCCTGCAGGAGGTCTGACGTCTCAATCACTGACGCACTTCACGTCTCCGCACTGATTTAGACGAAGCTTTTCAGAACCAAATCTGTTTTCTTTTGAGCAGCATGGAGGTTATGGACAAGAAGTTTGACCAGATGCTGTCGCTCCAGGTTCTGGACAAGTCTAAAGCCATTGCTCAGATCTTACAGGAGGTACGTGTTCCTTTCAAACGGTCAAAATAAAATTCTCTCCGTGATAAGGCAGCGGATAACGGCGACCTCTGTTCTCTACAGGAGGAGATGCAGAAAGCTGCGTTTCAGGCTCTGCAGCTGCAGAAAGACGCGGTTCACGGTTACATCCGCAACCAGGTGTGTTTGAGGCGCTGACGGACACCTCAGCCGCTCGGTTGATCCAGATTATTTTAAGCCTTTATTTGGGTTATTTCTTCCTCATCACTGAATTCATCTTTAACTCACAGCTCAGATCTTTGCTGCTTCCATGTAGCCCGGGGAGGTAAACCAGAGCTGGCCCAGAACGCTAAGATCCAGTTCAGACAGTTCTCCTGTTCATAGATCTGTCCCACATGGTTCTTCTGGGTCCAGCTCTGGTGCCATCAGAACCCGGCGCTGCTTTATAGACGCTCATTTCATCAGCTCATTCAGCCTGATTTAAAGCAGCATGTGGCCTCTCCACTGTCCTCAGATCAAGCTCATTGAGGCCGAACTCATGCAGCTGACTAAACTGGAGATTAAGAAACGCAACCTGGATGCTGAGAACCTGCAGGTGGGTCTCCCCGCTTCCTTTATTTGCTTTCATGTGTTGTTTGGCTCCTGTTCCTCCATGTCATGGATCCACAGCATCATTCACTCACAAACATTCCCTCCCTGTGAATCTTTTTGGTTCTTTTAACATCACAGATAAACGAGTAGAACAGAATATAAACAGGATGAAAAAGGATTTATGGTTTTACTGAATGAAGGTGGAAATGATCGAAAAGAGCCAGAGATCCACGCCTCCACAGACCGACTCTGTTAGTTTAACGAAATGGTAAAAGTTTTGGATAATTACCTTTACTAGGTTCTGTGTGGCTCTAAGTTCTGGTTCTGGGTGGATGCCTTCTGTTTGGAGGAATTAGGAATTATGACAAGGTTTCTTTTCTTTTCTGATTCATAAAACTAGCTTAGGCCCCTGTCACACCTTGCTGATTTAGTTAAAATTTTGGCGTATAAAGAGGCAAGTCAAGGCAAATTTATTTGTATACACAGTTCAGTACAAAGACAATGCAAAGTGCTTTACACAGGAAAATGAACATAGAATATGCATAACATAATTCAGAAATTATTTCCAACGACAGCCTAACTTATGCATGTAATGCCCATGAAATATCACAAGTCAGTGTCCTGAGGGGGGCAGCAATCCGCCCAGAGGCGCCCGGCCTGCATAAAAAGATTTCTTTGATCGCGTCTGGAGGAGAACTGATGGTTTCCTCCTGTGAACTAGCCACGTGAGGCCACCCTGATCTCGCAAGCTTTCAAGGTTTCACTCGCAGATCAGTCTGGAGACTCTCCGTTAAAGAAAATTTGGAGCCGTTCTCCAAACGAACGTCCAATCAGCGTTGGCTTTGAGGCGGGTTGAGGTGTGACGCAACGAGAAGCGTGACAGTTCAGTCTAAAGAACATGGTGGCTTCAGCCGATGAAACTAGCGTTAGCGTGGCTATCGAGCAAGTTTTATCAGAATTACAGAGCAAAACACTGCTCTGGAGGCTTTTCTTAGAGGAAAAGATGTTTTTGCTCTTCTCCCGACTGGTTTCGGCAAGAGTTTGATCTATCAATTGGCTCCTCTTCGTCGTCGCTCTGTTAGTACGTCATATGCTTCGTTGATCTGATTGGTTTATTTGGCCCGTCTATCACCAACATAGGCCAATCAGCTAACCAGTATTTTCGCCCCTTCCCAAAATTACTTCAACGGAAGGTTTCCAGATGGATATGCGGAGCAAATCTATCTGGCGGAGTCAGGTTACCTGTGAACCCCCTTTATACCAAAACGCTGCCAATACGCCATTATGCAGTAGCTGGAAGTTAGAAACACGTTCAGCGCTCGTCTGGAACATGTTAGATACGTTGGTATGCCAATTGGAGAGAAGTTCTTGATAAGTTATCAAGTTATGCACAAGTTACTCGTAGGTTTTGGATAAGGTAGACGCCATGACTTATGAGTAACTGACACTTAACGTTTGTCAACGATCAGATAACTGACCTGGAACTCATTGCATACGCTGAGAAATGTTGAGCATGTTCAAATTTTCCCAACGTACTCGCCATATGTCGACCTGTGCCAGCGTGTTTTAGCGTACCTCAGCGTGCTCATAAATTATACAAAACGTACCAATAACTTGTCCACTGTATGCCAGCGTTTTTGCCAGATTTTCCATACATTGGGCATATGCTAGTCTACATCGTCAAGGTGGGACAGGGACTTTAGTACATGATTTCTTATTTTGTAATATTTAATACTTTTTTAAGTCCAAGCAAAATTCCTGCTGATTAAAATTTGATTAAATCTGAATGAAAAGATCAGAAACCAAAACTTCTACAAAGATCTTTAAACTCAGATTAGACTAAATCGGTTTCCACTCATCAGTAGTCTGTAGGCTGCAGCTGGACATGTTCTGTCTGAGCCATGTTCGTTTTCCAAAGTACTTCTCAGATTTCTCCAGATCTCATTATTTTCACCTTCAGCTGCTTTCCAGCAAAGTTTTGACCTTATTGTGTTTTTGCAGGACGTTCTGGTGGACCAGCGCACGGCCCTCGGTGATTTACTGCAGAGCCTGCTGAAGCAGAGAGACCAGAGGGAGCAGGAGCTGCGGGCGGTTCTGGTGAGGAGGCGTTGGGATGAGAGGCGGAGCTAAAGGCTTCAGTCACAGTCTGATTTGGGGTTTGGTTTTCAGGTGGAAATGGAGAAGAAATCCGACTCCAACGAGCAGAACTATTGGATGATTCAGTACCAGCGCCTGCTGGACGCCAAGCCTCTGTCGCTGCGGATGCAGGTCAGTTTAGAGCAGGACGATCTGTCAGACCAGATCTGCAAACGTTCTAAAGCAGGTTTTTGATCGCAGGAGGCGGGTTTGGAGAAGGAGCTGGTGAACCTGCTGTGCAGACTGTCGGCGCAGCAGTACCTGCCCACCCTGGCTCACCATCACATCACCACCGAGACGCTGCGCCACATGACGACCTCGGACCTCAAGAAGGTCAGTCTGGAAGCGGAGAGTTGGAATGTTTTTAAAGTCGTAGGGAAACGGCTGCTCCAACCGTTTCATTTCTGAATTCTCCCGAGTGGTGCACGACTTTATACGAGTGAATAAAACTCGGGCAGGATTGTTGTGGCGGAAGGTTCTGAAGTAAGTTTGATTGTGGCCATTTTCTCGGAAGCATCTTGCTAACCAGTTAGCAACTTAGTGCTAGTAGGTTCCCAATGGGAAATTCCATTGGGACCAAGTAGCACTAAATTGGTGACTTAGAAACGACGCTGTCAAGGAACGCTATGGACAGCGGAAACATGCAAGAGGAGGAGAGTTTAGTGTCGGAGCTCGTGGATGAGTCTCCTCCGTCATCCATTTTTTATTTAGAGGAGGAAAGCGGGGACGAAGATGTTGTGGAAGAGGACGCCAGGGCGGCAGAAGCTTGGTTTGGTGTAGAAGGCTTCCAGCCGTACATGTTTGAGCCCTTGCCTCGCAACGCTGCCAGTTCTGTTAGCTCTACGCCTGCCGAAGACACAGACGTCCATCCCCGTGAACACTGGGACGCAACTCAATCGGAAAGGGAATCATTCTTATTTTTTATTTTAACCGTTGCATATATTAGCTGCGACATATGAATCAAGATGCTATGAAGGAAAAAAATTTGATTGACAGATGACCGTTGATATATGATTGGCCAAATTTAGGTGTTGAGGCTGACATATAATTAACTGGCCTGCAGAAGATAACGAGAGAAAAACTGATTTTTAGACTGGATTTTTTTTTTCAAAATAGAAATTTTCAAAATTTTGCTACAATATGGTCTGATAAAGAGTACATTTATACACATTTTTAAGCCAGAATTATTTGACATTTAAATATGATTTCCCTACGACTTTAAGGCTCAAGTGACAGAAATGATTCAGGTTCTTGTTAGTTTCACTGATTAAGGAGGAAACAGACAGAAACCTCTAATGGTTCAGAATTTTTCCTTCCTGGTTTCCAGTTGGGAATCAGTGAAGCTGGGATCCAGAAAGCTCTGCTGAACTGGGCTCGGGAACGCCAACCTGCAACAAGTAAGACACCCTCCCCCATCCCGCTACCAGTAGATGTTAGAACCACAACCTGTTTTCCACTCCTAACCTTCTGCTCCTTCTATAGGAGCTTGTAAAGCTGTTCAGAAGGACGAGGAGGTGACCCCCACAGCTCCAACTCCACCCCCCTCTCCACTTCTCCCCAGCACCTCCACCATGCTGACCCCCAGCCCACCACGATCACCTCGGACCCCTGGGACTCCCGTCACCCCGTCGGCCCCCGCGCCCGTAGAGGGACCAGGAAGCTCGGAATGTGTGGTCTGCATGGAGAAGGAGGTAAGAACCAGAAGGATCTGATGAAGGAATTTCCTTTATTTTAAAGCTTTTCTCTGCAGTCGGTGCTGCAGCGCTAAGCAGGAAACCCCAGTTTCCTCTCTATGTTTTGTACTCAGCTGACTTTTCATGCTGTCTCTAAAGGAATGAAAGATTTTTTCCAAGCACTAAGCTCACTTAGCTGATTGCTCCTTCCTGTGTTTCCAAAAAAGGCCAAAGTAAATAACCCAGTCCTTCTTTTCACTGTAGACAAGCCATGATCTGCTTATCTGTTCTCCATTTTTCATTTGTTTGAGATAATAGCTGCATGAATCATGACAGCAGACAAGATAGAGGAGAGCAGGAGGCGGGGTTACCAATCTACTCGCTCTGGAGAGCAGAGTTCGCTGCTTTTAGATGTTGTCTCCAAAGTCTCCAGTAGCAGAAAAAAGTCTCTAGATTTGGCGCTAGGAGCTTTTTAGAAATCAAAGTGCTAGAGGGGTCTGAAAAGTGGCTAAATATAGCGACTAAAGCGCTAAGTTGGCAACACTGCTCTTTGCATGGTTTGTTTTCAAATGGTTTGCTGCTGTCTGTTTGGACCTTTCTGAACATGTGCAGCAAATGGACTGATCCAATATGGTGGACACTGAAGGTCTTAATATTATTAGCATTCTGATGGCATTTTAGCAAAAGGATTTTTATCAAAAACATAATTAATTTGCACAAATGAGGAATAGTTGTATTAACCATACATGTAAAAGTAATTTTATGGGGCCCTAGGCACCTGCCTAGTATTGCCTAATGGCAAACCCCCCATGGTTATGTTTACTCTGTTATATTTATTTAAGTAAATTTAAAAATATATGTATATATAGGTAGAAGTTCTTTATCTTTATTTATTTGTTTTATATGGAAATGTTTCTTTCGCCAGAATTTTTCTATGTTATCTTATTGTTTTGATTTTTTTTAATACTGAGAATCAAACTATGAGCCGATATTTATTCATTCTGTCTTTATTTCACTAAACCCATTTCTGCTTGAATAAAATCTTGAGTAATATCCTGATTCTGGATTACACGGTACCGCCATGACGGTCCGGTCCTTTGTCTCACCTTCCTCCTCTGTTTCAGTCTCAGGTGATCTTCCTGCTGTGCGGCCATGTCTGCTGCTGCCAGGTGTGCAGCGACGCCATGCTGAACTGCCCCCTGTGTCGTGGCACCATTTCCCAGCGCATACGGCTCTACCACAACTAGAACCTGGACCAGAACCGGCTCGCCCTCTCCACCGACCACCTCTGTGTATTTATGCATGATCTTAAAGCTGCTGTGAGGAAACGTGTCGTGTCTCTAATAAAAACACTCTCAGTGCTGAGTCACAGAACCACATCAGAACCCGGATGGTCCCAGAACCCCCGGTTCTATCAGTTCCTGTGGATTTTACTCACAGAAAGGGAGCAGTTTGTGCCTTTTATCATTCAACCTCATTTAGTTTTTCTGCATCTTTAGCCAAAGTAGCAACCCTCCTTCATTTCTAGTGGCTCCACCGTCACTTCAATGCCATGTGGACATCATGTTAACCGTGTCAAAGGTCGTCTGAGTCGAATTTATCCTGCATTTTATCCCACTTTCATCACTGTAGGGTTTATTTTAGACAATTAATGAGAACCATTTATCTGTGAATCTTCCTGGAAGCAAACAGGTTTAATAGTAAAAATGAAAACAGCTGCATAAAGACACAAAAAGGGAGTTCCTCCAGTTTTATAAGCTTGTTTGTAATCACTTCATGTGTTTTATTCTTTGGGTGTTTTAACCCAAATCTAAAGGTTTTATTTCCCCTAATCAGGTTAATCCAGTAAAGCACTTTAAGTCAACATTTTCAAGTCCAGTTTATGAATTAATAATAATAAGGAATTAGATATAGAGAGCTTTTAAAGAGTAAAACATGCTTCTGTTATTTATCTTCACCCACAGATTTTAAATGTAAGTCCATCCTGTTTGAATCTATGAGAACAGAACAAAATCTTCTTTAAACCAGTTAAATCCGCCAGTGTTTGATAATCTCCAGCATGTCATCAGTTACCAAACAGGGAACTGAACTACAAGCTGATCTTAAGCATCCTGACGCAACATTTACCTCCTTTATTGACCATTAGATGTTTGGTTTGTCCTGATGTGTAAAACCTCAGAGCGCGGTCCGTCTGCGGCGTTCCTCTATGCTGTTTCCTTCTAGAAAGTGCTCTTATCTCTTCAGTGTTTTCCAGGAAATATCTGAACCAAATGTAAATGGATCAGGCTGAATGTTTTAGGATATTTACACATCACTGTAAAGCTGGTATTTAATGCAACAAGACAATAAACTCTACCTGTAACCCCCCCCCCTGCTGTCTGTGTCGAAGTTTTCTGCCAAGTTCAGGAGCCTGAGTATGAGGGGAGGTTAGCCAGAAGGCTAAATCCAACCCGATACTATTCATCAGGACCTTAAAGGAAAAGTCCAGTTAGCAAGGAATTATCAATCGATCTTTATTTATACCTAAAACTATGACGGTTACAGTGGTTTAATTAATGTAGTGTTAATCAGTAAAAAATAAAAATGTCGCGATCACAGAGTCTGGGAGCGGCCATTTTTGCCCAAATATAGTAACCCCTCCCTCCTGCCATCTTTCAGCAGTGACGTCACGGTGCGGTAAGCCTAGTGCCATTCTCCCCGCTTTACAAGCTAAATCAATGGGAACTACTAGACACATCTGCAATCAACAACAATTATTGAAGATTTCCAGAGGACTTCACCATTGAAATTCACCAGAGCTATAGTGAAACTGACAATGCCCACGTGCATGGCAGCTGGATGCTGGAATACATCGGGTAAAAGTGAAAAATAAAGAGTTATTCCACCTTTCTGATTCCTGATCCTCCACGGACGGGTTGGTCGTTGGATCGCCAACTTGAAGAGGGAGGATTTGCCATCGAACTTCTGGCCAGAGAAATAACCCGTAATATGTAGCCAACATTTGGAAGAAGAATGTTTTCAAGATGACTTGGATAATAGCGCTTTGTGACAAACACCAGATACAGCACTGGGACTTGATCAACAGCCGATACCGCACCGTGACGTCACAAACCAGTAGGTGGCAGTAGTGTTCTTTGACAAACATGGATGCCTCTAGTAAAGAACATTCGCATGAAAATTACTCTGAATTAAAACACAATTTATTGAGAAATATGTAATCATTTCATATTTAAACTACTTTCAGGAGTTCATATACTAAATGTGAGCAGACTTTTCCTTTAAAGGTTTCTGGGAGGTTTGGGTCACAGGAAGGATAGAAGGTGAATCCTTTTATGCTCTGGGCAGGTTTTCAGAAACCGCTTCTTTTTTAATATATATGGCTGTTTGTGTTGTTAAGAAAAAACACTTCACTGGTCCCAAGATAGCGGTTTTCTGTCAGACCAGCAAACCTATAGTCAATACACATGTGCAAAACATCAGATTTGCATTTATCCCTGTAGTTTTGTACAAAAAAACAGACTTTAAAGTACCTAAATGGGCGTGTAACCCTTTATTCATGTACAAAAAAAACAATTTAAGGCCAGATTGCCATGCACTTCAAAAAACACCAAATAGTAAGTAATTAAATTGTTTTTTTGTTTGTACATGACTAAAGCGATACACGCCCATTTAGGTAGTTTAAGTCTATTTTTTGTACAAAGCTAAAGGGATAAACGGGTATTGACTATAGGTATGCTGATATGACAGAACAGCAGCATAACCTCTCCTTTAACCCTCTCCAGGCAGATGTTGCAGATTTGCAACAGCTAAATCCCACTTAGCTAATTACTCCACATCCATATTTTAAGAGCTTTTGTTACTCAGAACTACAACAGAAGGACTTAGTTGTGCATTTGCAACAAACAGTTTCTCTCCAGCTCACCACATGGCAATGCTGACTCACTTTCAACATGGCTGAGTCCTTGAGTCCTTGGTGTCACTGAAACTGATTTTCTAAGCACCAATTTCATGTAAGTATCACTTCCAATTTCCATTATTTTGAAATCAATACTACATAAGATGTATCATAAATGTATATAGATATGACACATGCCAATTAGTAGATTTAATCTTTGTGAGCAACAGTTAAACAGAAACTGCCTTCTCAAGAGGTTTTGAGATGTCGGTGGAGAAAAAGTTTGAGAAAAAGTTGTCTCTAATTTTGTGAGAGAAAATTTGTTTTTCGAAATTTGTTTTAATTTTTTGTTTGTGACATTTAAATAAAGTTAACTTTCATATCAGATTCAGTCTTCAGTGTTAATTTACCACTCCAGGCCACTGTTGCAAATCTGCAACATCCCAGACATCATTGCATGTAAAGGTCTCTCTCAAAAAAAGTCTGAATTGTATATTACTACCCCATATGATAATTTTCTCCAAATATCAGATTTTTCCTGCAACTACAACTTAATTTGAGCCTGAGGGGGTAAAAGAAAGGCAGCGTTAGTTTATTTCAAACTATTCATTCCAGAAACAAACTTCTTAAAGACGTCCAGTTCTGGAAAACACAATAGGATTCTGCTTTGGATTAAACCATGTATTGAAACAAGGAAAAAAAAGCTTCTCAGGAAAATTAGACAGTAAAACAAGTTGGCATGTCTGATAGAATAACTGATGAAATCAGGTCTGATATTCCAGCTGCTCCAAAGTCGGATCATAAACGTGTTTTTATGAAAAGATTTAAAACCAAAGAGATGAAGCGGCTACTGGAGGTTAGACACTCATCACTAAAGCAAAGATCCGGCTCTGCAGAGAGGTTCAGCCTGCTAAGATGCAGGATCTTTCTGGCTGTCGGTTTAAATCCCTCTGTGCCTCTGAGCAACTCCAGAACCAGCCCAGGCTCAGGGCTGGCTGCTGGGCTGTGACCCGTCTTCATATTTTAGACAATATTGAAAAACAGCAATAAATAAATCAACCAAATACACACAAAGAGACTAGTTAACATCAACCAAACTAAACACTAATTTTCAAACTACCTGAATTCACCTAAACATAAATAGAAACAAAACCCTCCAACAACCTATCAGTATATACAGCCAGAGAAATGACATTGATTAACGGAAATTGTCTGAAAAGGTGTATGAAGAAGTAAAATATATTTTTCATACCCCTTTTAGGAACCACAGTTTGCTTTTTGGACTTTATTTAAGGTCTTGCTAATCTGGATCTGTAGAAAACCAAACCTGCTCAGCTAAACTAGCTCCTGGGCTCCTGTCTCCATGGAGATATTAGTGCTTGTAAATATCAATTTTATGCAGAATGTTTGTTGATAGAAGCAGGTAAGTAATATACTTTTATACCACTATACCTTTTATCTAGAAAGCATGGATGTTTAAATATTTGTGTCTTTTTGTTAGAAAAGGCTGAAGGAAAGTATAGTTAGTCTTTATTTAGAAAATATGGATGTTTTTCTCATTAAGTTTCCTGTTGGAACAGTGTAGATTGACCCTGAGGTTCTGGCCCCTATCCGCTTTCGGCCCCCCCTCAGTGTACATTGGTTATTGCCTGGACACCCTTATAAAAATTTTCTGGCTACGCCTCTGGCGACCTCCGCCGCACAAGACTCCGCTGTCCATCTACACCTTATGGACAAGGGACATTTATTTGGGACCAGAATGTTTACATTTTGGACACAGAAGACAGGTGGTTTGAGAGTGGTGTGAAGGAAGCCATTTCTTTACCTGATCCACATTTTCTCAAATATTCCTCCCATACTTGCCTCCTTGCACTGTAATGTTTTTGCTCCGCCCTGTGTGTCTGAGCTGCTTACTCCTTACACCTCCTCTTAAATCAGTGGTTCACAAACTTTTCGTGGTTGCCACCCCCCTTGACTTAGTAGAAAGTTTTTGCACCCCCCTTCAACCAAACTTTTTAATAATTGAACAAAGAAAAGTAAGCTGCAATAAATGTTATTGCAATTAAAAAAACAATTCTCTGTAGTTTACCTATCTTAGATCTTATTCTTAGATCATGTAAGCAGATTAAACATGTAGCTGGTTTGGTCACAGCTCCTCTCCAGTGGAATGAATGGACACTTATCATTAGACAAACCCCTTTAATCTGCTTCTAAAACTTTAAAATACTTGAACTCCTTTTTATCCCACCAAGCAACAAATTGTTGAAAAGACAACATGATTTACATCCAAATGACGGCTACATTTGGTTGAAAAGTGATTTTCATGTCGTTGAGAAGACTTTGAATACTGGGTTTGAATTGTCTTTTCATTGTCTGTTATTGGACTAATGTGGGACAAAATCAGACGGACAAACAGTCCAATTTTGAACAACTATTTCAGGACTGAATCAAGACTATGACGGACCGACCAGATTTAGCCTAAAAACCATCATCTGATTCAATTTTAGCTGTTGATTCTAGGATTTCTATTTCTTTTTATTTTAGTTTATTTAGTTTTTTTTTAGTTTTTGCATTTTCTTTGCACTGTGAAGAACTTTGTAACTCAATCTTTAAAGTCGCTATAAAAAGAGGTTCAATAGAATCAGAAATGTTTTGTAGGAAGAACAGAGAAGATTTTAAATTCTTGTTGAATCTCAGTGAAACAAACATGCAGCCAGAAAACTTCAGAGTTGAGTTTTATTCATTTATTTGACAGACTGAGAAAGACAGGTTAACAGGTAACAACAGACAGTGTTATATAAAGATCATCATCCAGTCAGTATCTTTAAATATAACAAGGGATCAGAAAAAACAAAAGTATGTTTTTTTACGTCTATGTGTGGGATGGATCTATAGCAGGAATTAAGGATTAATATGTGATGTACGAGGTATAAAAACGCACCCAAGGAGGAAATCCTTAGCAGTTAAAGAAAACTATGTTCTACAGGATGGGCAACAAAATGAGAAATTATTGTTATTAGTGCTGTTAAAGGTTTATATGCGATAAGAAGTCACTGGTGTTTTTATTATGGTGTTAATTCTCTAAGGATGGAACTAGTCTGGAGAGATTAACATGGTAACATGTTGAGGTACCAGTAATGGGAAACCATAGTTACTTTAATCTGCTACCTGCTCCTTTTCAAACAATTCAGAATGAAAACCCCTTTATTTATTGTGCGACGCCCAGGGAGCAGTGTGGGGTTAAGGGTCTTGCTCAGGGACCCAGAATGGAGGCTGTGGGGATCGAACCGGGTCAGAGCACAAGCACTCTGCTCTAAACACTAGGCCAACACTCCGCTATTTATGCGATATGCTATCTGGGTTTTAATTATATTGTTTCTTTAAAATACATAAGTTAATAAATAAAGTGCTTCTTTCCCACCTGTAGGTCATCGGGGCACAGCTCAGCTTCTCTCCTGTACAAAGATCATCA